ATTTTAATTAGCTCAAGGGGAGGGGGTTTTGCACTAACACCCTGTGCTTTGGAGGGGGGGAAAAAGGAAATTCATCACGTTTCTAAATGCAGCACTGTTTTATTTTGGGAAAAACAGCTGGATGCAGTCTCAGCCAGATCTTCGCTTCTTATTACTATGATACTTACAACTGTCACCTCTAGTTCACATTTAAAGGCCTGGACATCAACAGTGAGTAGAAGGGCAGAAGCCACCAAGCAGTGAAAAAAATTTTATCCAAAACTACATTATACAGTTTGAAAGGAAATTACAACATTTCATGTTTCTAGTGCCACTTCTATGCATGGCATAGCCTGGACTTATCATCTACCCCACAAGAATGGTAGTGCTAAGGTTTTGCACTGCTGACGTCTGTCTGCCTCCACAAATATATGAGGATAGATGGATTATCACCTTATAAATCAGCAGAGATATCATAATGTTATCAGACTGTAGGAACAAGGCATAAATACATCAAAATATATAGCCAATTTTTTAAGCAATAGCTGTGAAGCATTGCCCTGGGGACTTGACGTTAACTTAATTGTGAAATAGCTTTCAAATCCTGCAAAAAGTAGAGAGTGACATCAAACAATTTACCAAGCAAAAGAAACTCTATTGAGCCTGAAGTTATGTTAAGGTGAATGTTCATTATGCTTTCTACCCATGAATTTTTGAGTTCCTATTCCAATGGACATGAATGGTAAGAACCCAGACATATTACCTCCATCAGGCTTGTAAATGACCCTTGCTGCTACAAGTTCCTAATGACCAGTTTAGTATTTAACCGTCACAGTGAAATTCCAAGGGCAACAGAAACATTGAAAAATCGGTTGTCAAGTGAGCTTGTAGTATTGCTGCAGATCTGTAATTTATGATGTACACTTTTAATTACTTTTTGGAAAGAAAAACTACCTTAATATAGTTGGAGCAGCTGTAGAAGTGCTGTCAGAAAATGCTCAACATTCCTGATTAATTGAAGAAGCATCTGTGATCCCCTTCACCATCAATCACTGGAGAATATGCTCTGCCACTGTATGGTTCATTAATGGAGGAGCCTGATGTCACTGTGAGAAGCAAGTACACGATATGAATGTTCACAACCTTCACCTTATTTTTTTACGTGATCCCTATTGTCTAACTCCTCCAGTTGTTTTTGCATAACTGAGATGACTTTCTAAACCCGCCAACATGGCTGGCATAGCACCTGCTATGTACTAAGATGTTTACCTGGACTTTCCATGTTTTCTGCAGCAGTGTCATTAATGGAGTCAGGTGAGCATAACAGCACCAGCAGAAAACTGTACATGGTAACTGCAGAAAAAGTAACACACAAGCAGGATGAGATTTTAGGGGCATTTAGGAAATTCCAAGGTGTCTTCTCAGGAGATGTTCAAGACTCCAATCCCAAGGTATGCTCTAGTGGGTAAACAACACATGGAGTGACTTAAGTAAACATCCCTATACCAGGACCTTCATTTCCTTTCAGATGATACCATCAGTAGTTTATTTTAGACACAAAAATCAAAGGGAAAGTTCATCAGGAAGATGAGCAAAGTTTTTACCATCCATGAGGGGTCATTCCTATCTTAGTGCATGGCTCCTAAAAATATTTGATGATAAGCAATTGGCTTTAGCTTTTGCTCTGAAACCTAGAGATGCTGATGACAGACTTTGAGGTATATGTGTTACACATGCCTATATGAAGTCAGCTTGTGCATTTGTGATGTTACCTACTTTTATGAATAGACAAGTACACACAAATATTTGTTGCTGACTTCAATTTGTGAAATTGCTAAAAAATTATGCTTAGAAATGGCAGATAGGATTTAAAAGGTATATAATGAAGGCTTGCCAATGTGTTGTTTGTTTAAGGAGCATTGCAGCTACTGATCATGAGCCAACAGATGCACGGAAATCATTTCCTTGCTTTGACGAGCCCAACAAAAAGGCAACTTACAACATATCTATCATCCATCAAGACACGTACCAAGCACTTTCAAACATGCCAGTACAGGTATGTATTTCCCAACTCTGCTGCCTAAACGGAATGGTTCTGTAAAGACACTGGAAAGGTAGTGTGGATCACAAGGTCCTTGTATGTTCACAGACTCTACCACGCAGACACCGTAGAACTAATGGTTCATAAATATTCCATAAAACAGGACTGGTTGGTTGGTTGGTTAGGACTCCCAGTGGTCCACCAGCACACAAAATGGAAATACAGAGCTGAATCCAAAACAGAAACGTCTCTTCTGTCTTTAGCTAGCTGGCCCTCTATTCAGATATTCTAGGTGAGCATCCCCTACCAACTATAAGTAGCTAATGGCAGGTTTTTCAGTCAAACCAGGTGCACTCTGCAAAAGAATACCCTGGAATACAGCTGCTTCCCAGATGGGAAGTCTAAAATAATCACTGAAACTATATAATGTTGCAAAGCAAGGGTCTGCTGACCACAATCTAATGGCAAAGGATCCTGCTAGCAAGAAAGTCTAGGATTATTATTTTTAATAATACAGGATCTGAAATCCCATCTGTCAGCTCATGGGTGTGGACACTTGTCAGTCCACCATGACTGTAATTTCCTAAATAATCTATTTCTGGACTCCATGGGTCAAATTCCAAGTTTTGTACAAAATTCAATGGCATCAATTATCTACCTCTGGGCCCTCTGGAATAAGACTGAATGGCTTTCAGCTGAGAGAGTTTCTAATAAATAGTTCAACTGAACATGTAGTCCAATGTATAATTTCTAATTAATATGTTCTGAAGTGGGAGATAAAGTGCCAAGTTTAAAAAAAAAATAAAAAGGAAAAAATAAAAAAAGAGCTTCCAGCCTCCAGGCTCTTGATATTTGCATCTTTCCAATCACACCCCCACTCAGAAAACAAAGGTCTTTACTGTGTACTGTTTTATTTAAAGTCCCCCAAACCTTAACCATCCCCTAGCAATGCAGCTGAGAGAACTATTAGCAATCTGATACAGCTGCCTCCCAGATTCTTTGGAAATTTAAAGCTCTGACCTATTGTTATTAAAAAAATTTCTGATACCTGAAAGAGCACCAGGCACATTGATGAACAACACATGAGAGTGTTTGCTGTACCTTTCCTCACAGACCTCAGATAAGTGAGGGTACTGGCAAGAAAGGTGAGGACATGAGACTAGATGCTATCAAGATTTAGTGGGTTTTTTAAATTTACTTTACACCTTTACACGTGGACCTTGACTCTAGTATGGACATACAAAAATAAGCTTTCAAAGGGTTAGCTACCACTTGTTAATTAATTTGCTAAAATCTGAGTACAGGCAGGGAAATGTAGATTATGCTGGGTTCATACTCAAGTTTGACTAACCTGATGATAGCAGGGCACTTTTTCATCTGATGTGCTTACAAGGTTAGTAGCTCTGTTCATAGTAGTGAAAGATCTTTGGGAAATGGATGGAAATGTAATAGTTTCTAAATGCAAGGCACATTGTGTGTTACGCATACCATAGTAGTTTTGGTGGTGTGGAACTTTATAATCAATATGGAAAATCATCTTGGCAAAATCAGAAACTTGTTCATTTGCATTTGCATTTTTCGCTGGAGCGGAATTTTTTTTTTACTTTTTTTTTTCACTGAAGTTCTGACTTTGTTGAAAGAACAAAAGATCAAAATAGAGTCAAAATGAGACATAATGGAAAAGTAGTTTGTGCATATCTCTGTGAAAAGCAGTTTGTGAATATATCTGTGAAATGTTTTTTTTTGCTCATGGAATCATATTACCTGTAATGTTCACTATCTGTGCTTTATTTATATCGTATTTATAACAAACAAATGTCATGAAGTATTGTATCTCTAGTGGAAGGTTAGTGTCTTTTATGTGCTTTTTGTTTTTGTCCTGTTTAAGTTAGTCATCCAGTCAAAAGCACAAAAAAATATCAGACAGGCAACAGAAGATAATGAATAGCAGAAATAAATATTAAAAGGATGAATCACATACAATAGGTTGCAGGTTTGATCATATAGTTCAGTTGAGAGTTAAGGACATTCGGGAAAGTGAGGAATGGTTTTTAACTGATTTACAAAACAAAAACTAGGATCAGCACTAAACCTTATGTACATTTAAATAACCCACCAATTAGCAGTGCTAATTTGTATCTGAATCAGGACAGATTCATTAGACTAGTCTTTATCCTAAGTAGCAACTCTGCAATCACTGGCTCCTATAATGATGCATGTGTTTGAGAGGAGACAATCCCGTCTCTCCTCCGATCTGTCCAAAGTGATGTTACTTTATGCAACTATTTCAAGAACAAAACACACAAGCATACACTAGAAAACTCCTGTTGGCAAAGTTCCTGTGCATGTGAATGATTTCAAATCCTTGATGCAAAATTAGAACCAGGTAAACTTACTTAGTGAAGAAAAACAAAGTTCCATTTCATGTATTGCAGTATTGCAGAAAAAAACATTTTGTCTATTCTCATGCCATCAGCAATGCGATGCCAGAAGAGGTAAACCTAGAGAGGTGATTTATCATTCCTATGTAGTTAGGAAATAGAAATAGTATACGCTCTTCTGCATGTGTTTGCAATTCCAAAAATAAAGTTAATTATTTTTCTATTTCTGCAGCAAACTGTAAAGCTGGATGGTGGCTGGAATCGGACAACTTTTGAGAAGTCAGTTCCCATGAGCACTTACTTGGTATGCTTTGCGGTGCACCAGTTTCAGTGGGTAGAGAGAATGTCCGCTAGTGGAAAACGTGTAAGTCCTGTTGCAGCCCGAACCTGGCTCAGGTGACAGATGTACTGTGATTTGCACTTTTTTAAAAATTAGTCATCTCTTTTTATAATACAGTTAGGAACATATTTTTCCCTTTCCTATAGCCTATTTCATACAGCCTATTTTATCGGATTTGGTGTTCACAGTGGTCCCTCTGACCTTGACTACATACAGTGTTTTGCAGTCCTTCCCTGTCTCCCATCTTGGGGAGATCCCAGTCAGTACCTCCCACATGGGCACACAGGTGAGGAAGGAGCACTATTCTCCAACCTCATCCCTGACCTGAAGCCCAGAATCTGAGGGAATGTACAAGTCCAGGGGTACAAGAGGTTCACAGGCCATAGATACAAATACTTCACATTTTTCTGTGGGTTAAAAGGTATGCATCCATCTGCCTGTTTACAGTCATGGAGATATAGGACTACAATGCTATGTGCCATTACATATTGGCTCTAATATTCTTTATTTTACAAGAGAGGCTAAAGGCAACTGCTCAGTTCAAGTTCTTTACAAACAAGGATAGAAGTGATAGTGCCTGCCTAAACAGCTGGATATTTGGCAGGTGCCCTAATGAAGTGAATATGTTTGAATCTGAATCCATAAAATTAAAACAGCTCCTTTATTTAGATGCAACAGGCAGTTCAATCCAGTTCTCACTTAGATTCAAATCTCCTGAAGGTGCAGCTGAGCAGGCATAAGGAGATCACAAGACATTACGTTGAATCACAAGCTGAAAGCCTAAATACAATTTGCCCCTCAACATAAGCTCCTTATTTAGCCTAAACCTAGTCTGGGATGCTCAACCCACTGTTAATTATGTATTGGTTTACATCTTTTTTGCATCTGAGACAAAAGATGATCCCAGGGCTGTATGCTCCTGCTGCTTCCCCGTCCTTTCCCCTAGGAGTGTAAGATATGGTCTTGCGGCTCAGCTGAGCTGGCAGCGCTTTCCTCCTCTTCTGGAGGCAGTGACACCAATGGACAGGGAACCCAGAGCAAAGCCCCAGCTAGACCACTGTTCCCCTAGCAGGTAAGCTCTTCCTGAGTTTCTCTATCCGAAAAAGCTCGGCAAATCATTCCCTATTTATGGCTGTCCACTGATGTGAAAATCTGCCTTGTATAAATCTCCAAAGTGCTGATCCAGTTCTTAGCAAAGACTTCCTGGCATAGCACGGTGCTGAGGCCTCCCTCCTCTATGCCCTCGCTAGCATCATCCTGTAGTCTTATATTATTTCTTGACAAATAACTAAGGCTAAATTACCCTTAGCCAAGCAAATGGAGCCCGGTTTGAGATAGCAATGCAATATTCTTAGATCCCTGCTGTTTGGCTGAGTAATTTGCAAAACAGGAGAACGTTTTAGGCCATGCAGCCACACAATTTTGTTAACCAGATGCTTTTCAGTACGGCTGCTCCCTTCATTATCAAGGACAGGACTTAGGTTATTTGGCCTTGATAGATATTCTCTGGAGTTTAGTTATTTTAAGAATCAGCATTTGTGCAGCTTTTGTAGAACACAGCGTGGTAGGAAAAAAAAGTGCTGAAGATATATGTAAAACTCTATTTTCTAAATGCAAAAGTTAACATTCTCTGCTTGTCCATGCTACATTCCAGAATATGGCTCTGAGGACAATATTTGTTTTTTTTCCCCAAGCAAAACAGTGAAGTCCACAATGTTCCTGACTGGTTGTAGCTTTTCTAAATAGAAGGGAGTGTTCACTGAAACATGGTAATTAAAGTGTGTGTGTGTGTAGAAGCACGGGTATTTGTGTCAGTACAGAGGTTGCCTGAAGAAATGTCTTCTAATTCAGGCCTTGGTTACCACCTATTTTATTAACACTGTTCACTAAACAATGTCTGAGGACTTGCCTGCACTAGAAAACTTGGTTTTTAAGTGAGGTTAAAATTATAACCATTTCCTTCCTCTTAGCATGGACATAGTTTCACCAATACAAAGCATATGTGTAAGATTGTTTTTAATTAAGGGATCCACATAACTCCATCACTAAAAATTACCTTTTCCCCAGGAAAAGCAGGCTATCCTTAGAGTTTTTATCCAGATATTTAGAAAGTCCTTCTCCTAACCAAACAGTTCCTTTCCAAAAACTGTGAAGCCCAGCTGAGCAATGAGGTATTTCGATTCACCTACTGCTGAAAAGAAAGTTCCATAGTTTGCTGTATAAATTGCTAGCAATAATTCCCTCATCCAACAGAAAGTATCCATGTAATCCATATACCGTTTTCACAAACAACAGCAACATCATACAGCTCACATGACATGGTAAATTATTTTAAAATTGCCATGCCATTCGCTCTGAAAACTGTTGCCCTCCCAAAGACATTAACGGAATCAATGGTGGAAAATGTGCCTACAGCTGGAAATGATGCTCCTGAGCTCATTATCTGTCAGGTACTAAATGTCTGGTTTCGAAAATCACAGAGGAGATTACACAAATGAAACCCAAAATCAGTTCTAGTGCATGGTGAAGGTTTTGGAAGCCATTAGTACAGATCAGCTAGGGGACCGAAGACTGCTAAATTGGGTGAAGAGCTTACTAAAGTGGAAATTGCAGATTGTAATTGCAAACTGACCCTGAGGGAAATCCCCCTGGCTGGAATGGATTCCAAATTGAATTTCATAAGCTTTTTTTTGTTTTGCTTTTTCATTCCAGCTTCATTTCTGACCACTTTCCCATCCTCCCCTGTTGTTGGAGGAAGTATAATTTCATGGTATTGAAATCAATGTGTTGTCAGGCTCCAAGAAGGCTCTTAGAGTAGACTCCTTTGCTCAGTTTGGACCCTAAACTCCTGGCTGTAAGACAGCACTGAGGAGTAAACAAGCCACACCAACACAGCCAGAAGAATGTGGCCCATTCATAAGAGACACAGAGCCTGCAAACTGAAATGGAACCGTTTTCCTACAGCCAGAAACTTCACTTCATATAAAGGTCTCTTACTTTCCATACTGGAGATTTCAGGGGACAGTGAAGAGAACAGTCTACAGCTCCTGCCAGTGGACACTCCAGTGCTATGGCTCTGCCCTGGGGCAGAGATCTGTGCGACCTTTGAGACAAAGAGATTGAGGAAAATATCCCCAAAAAGACTCCATAAATGCTGAAGGCAAACTTTGTCTTCACAATGTGAAGATAACATCCCAAAAGGTTTTGCCAAGCTGTAAGCCTCCTCATCATGGTTATGGGTGCTTCTAGTCCTCCAGGGCTTGAGGTTTCCTATTGCTTGACAATAACAGCCAAAGCAGTCCCAGGCATCAAACCTCAGGGATGGAAAGGTCAGCACTCAACACACCATTTTTTGCGTTCAGGAAAAAAAACATGCTCAGATATGTAAGAGGAGCACAGAAATGGTTACTCATCACACACAGGTCTACCAAACGTGCCAGTTTTCTTGGACCTGTCTGGTGGGAAGAGAGCGAGCTGATCTTTGTCTGGGATTTCTAGAGGCACAGTAGCCCAGCAGGCATCATAACTGTGACTGGGTTTTCACTGGGCAACCAGCCACTCAACATGCATGGGCCAGCGTGTCTGGGAAGAGTTACAGATCTGGTAAAGACACTGTCTGTCTTCAAAGGCTCTGAGATCTTCAACCATACCAGGACAAGAGGAAATTATGATGACAGTAGGTGGGAAAGATAGGAAGAAATTGAAGAAAATAAGGTGTTATGTGCTTCAAACACATTTCAGGACAAATGTGCTCCTGAAGATCGGTCTGGTGGGATCAGTCCAGACCAATGAACTGTTCACAACAAGTGGATTCCCTTCGGTTGTGTTTACTCAGGCTTCCTTCTTGAGAAAACTAGGCCTTGGGGAACGATCGGCTGATATGGACCCAGGTCCTGCTCCAAACTTGGCCACTGTGAGCTTCTGGACATAGGTCTTGCTACTTTTACAATTTAGGCATACTGTGGAATGCATGCACAGATTATGCTAACTTGGTCTCTCTTACGTACACCATTTGAAAAACTTTGTTGAATAAATGTATTAGGGAACAGAATTCAGTGTTCAGGCCTGTCTCTTAGAGAAAACCTGCAGTGTTATAGGTATGTATGTTAAATTACTTTTCAATGCTTGTCACCTTCTAATTTCTTTTAACTGAAGACTGCTCTAATTGTCTCTCTCTGTTTTACAGCTGAGAGTTTATGCACAGCCACTGCAAATACACACGGCAGAATATGCAGCAAATGTAACAAAAATTGTATTTGACTTCTTTGAAGAGTACTTTAATTTGAGCTACTCTCTTCCAAAACTAGGTGATTATTAAAACTTAGATCTTTCATTTTGTTAATTTACTGTCATGGTTATGTTTCTCCTACAGGTCTCCTGGGCTTTGCTGGAAAATAGCATGAAAGCATTTGGTTGCTAACTGTTGATATTATGTCAGGATGTTTTAAAACTGTACCCATGTAGTTCAAGATGTTCTTAAATGTCATGATGGGAGCATTGCTCTCAGTAACAATTTAGTTACCAGTTCTCACAGTTCATTTTGCTGAACTGAAGCACTGGTCCTGGCATGGTTATTTTAAAGTGTCTTGTGGAAAGCATTGGTGTCATCAGCAAAGGAACATCATGAGCTAAAACAGAGCCAGAAGAAGTTTGAGAAAAATATGTACCACTTCCATGGGAACTTCTGGACAAAAGTCAGCAGTGAGATAAGTGAGGATGTAAACTGCCAGAGAGTATGTCATACTATTTATTAACCTTAGTGCAAAGTGGGTGTGTATCCACTTCTTAGAAAGATGAATGTGGTCCAGCATATAATTTGTCGTTTCTACTGCTAGGCTAAATAAAGACCCAGAGCTAAACAAGAGTGGGCACACTATCAAATTTTGCCCATGGTTACAAAACAAGCAAAGAAAAAGTAGTGCAGCTGGGCATCCTTTAGCTTGCGCTATCTGGACTCTGGATCTGATTTGTGCAATTTGAACTAATAAAATTGGGAATGTAATCAGAGTTTTGGAAATGCCCCTTCCTAAGACTTCCAAAGAGGTAATTCAGTTAGGATCATGAACTTAAGAGGATGGAAAAATATTAACTACAAACAAGTTAAGGCAATGTAATGAGGGCGGGGGGGGGAAGCACAAAACCTTGAAGACAATTAACAATGCTATGGAAACCTTTTATTGGCTATTCATAAATGTACCTATCAGGCTAACCTCTATTACTTTAACAATAGATTTTTACCTCTTCCTTTCAAACCATCATCTGAGTTTACTGTAAATATCTGTTTGTATTTCAACAACAATTGAATTAGGGAAATCAGTACAATATGTAGTTCTTTCACACAGTGGTCCACAGTAATAATTGGGACTACATCTCACCTATGTTTTATATTCACATTTTTATTTCCGTAAAAGCCCAATGATTTTGGCATGTCAGAGTATGGACAGGGGCCTGTCTGCGCTACAGGGTGGACTGGTAACCCCAGGTCAGCAGTATCAGAGGGTAGATACTCTTGCAGATTTTACACTGTTTCTCAGAACATCTATTTATTGGATCACAAATCTTGACTTACTATGTTGTTCCCTCAGTATCAGAAGTCATCTAGATCAAACCTGATGAATCAAATATGTTTCTGCATAATGGTTTATTTCAGATTGATTTATGGCTCCTGGCACTGCCATTCTCCTTGTGATCCTCATTTTGACTCTCAGTGAAGCCCTTGCCAGACTATCAGCGTTGATTCTGTAATGAAGTTGTTTAAATTAAAATAAGTAATTCCTATCTTCTGTTAGGGTGGAGTGACGGTTGTTTGTTTTATTCAGTTTTAAATCCATCTGTACTTTTTCACTAACCCACATAGAAAGGCTGTGGTCATTATTTGCAGAAGAAAATGCCAGTCCAGTTGAGTGTGCAATTCTTATTTAAACCTGTATTGATTGCTGACCATAAATGAGCGACCTCCTCAAATTGCCAGGAGTAGAAGCAGATGTTGTTCACTGCATGGCAGATTTACTTCAGTTAACATGTCAATAAATATTTTTAATACAACAGTGTGACAAACAATGACATGCCTCATTATGCCACAGATAGTTTCAGGTTTACTGCCTACAGCACATCCCTAGACAATACTATTAATTTCTGGAGCCAAAATTAAGTATTGTATGATATGCATGCTCCCAGGAGGTGGCATAGCATCACCTCACAGGACAGATCCTCAGTTAGTGCGACTCATCCTAGCTCTGTTAATCTCAGCAGAGCCAGGGCACTTGCTATCAGCTGCTGTAGGCCAGTTCCTTGCTTCTTAAACACAAGCTATAGACTGCAGTCCACAGCGGTAAGCCAGAACTACAAACAGTAAGCAGAACAGGCTGTGTGTACACAGAAAGAAGACAAGCTAAGTGCCTTAAAGGACACAGTGGTAATCATGTTTTCTTTCTTTCAATGTAGATAAAATAGCTATTCCAGATTTCGGGACAGGTGCTATGGAGAACTGGGGACTGATCACATACAGAGAAACAAACCTGCTGTACGACCCCAACGAGTCAGCCACTTCCAACAAACAGAGAGTAGCTGGTGTGGTAGCACATGAGCTCGTTCATCAGGTACCTTCTAGGACACGATTCGTTTTTACAGTGCTTCAAATGTGTAGTCGCAACATTTTAATCTTGAAAATACTGTCATTAACTTTGGCTTGGGATCTTCTACGTGGGCTCACAATTTGATTGCAAAATACCGTGTTAAAACAGTTCCCTGTTAGAGCTTTAAAGTACCATAACTACTGCCTTTGAATTTTTCTTAGAAAGTTAGATGCTTGGGTCCAGACTGTGAGCCAGCTTATGAAAATCTGTCTGAAATGTCTTAAAGGAACTAATTTGCATGTGCAGATGTCTCTTTTGGGCAAGCAAATAGGGACAACTATACACTGTGGAGGCTGTCTGAAAACATATCCTTACAAGCACAAATCATCGAATCAAGAAGAAGAAACTAAAAATATTTTCAGTGGCACATGAATCATTAGCAACCTCCCCAGTAACATGTAATTTTATAATAAAAGTGATGTTTTAACACAAAGTGAGGCCTGAATTCCTATTTAAACCCCAGAATTATGATAATTTTCATCTGGCAACAGGCAGAAAAGTGAACAAATGAATGTTCTATATGGAGATGTGAGATACTGAAATGTACATTTACCATTTAGCTAACACTATATATTTCAATGTTTATAATTTTAGTGGTTTGGAAATATTGTGACCATGGACTGGTGGGATGACTTGTGGTTAAACGAAGGATTTGCCAGTTATTTTGAGTTCCTGGGAGTAGATGCTGCAGAACCAGATTGGCAAATGGTAATTATTTCTGTTTTGTGGGGGATTGGCAGGGCTGGGGGGAGCATTTTGGAAAAGAGTAAAAGTTAGACAAGGATGATGAAGACTTAAACTATATTTATAGAAAACTAACATAGTGCAGTGCAACAAAAAGAAAAAGTTGGTTTCAGCTGTTCCACCTACCTATGTTATGGTCTGAAACTAGTCAAGGTAAACTTTGTAAAGCTTTAGTCTGCAGGCAAGAGCATTCTTTTTTAACAAGTGAGTCAAGTGTTTAGTTATTATTATGGTAAGTAATACCTAGGTGGATTCTGGACAGAGCCATAGCAATTTTGCAAGGTTGTTTAAAGGTCTAACCCTCGAAGATGGACATTCTCCTTTATTGATTTAGTTGGGCTGTAGTGTCTCTTCACACACTTGTCTTAGGATTATTATCTGACCTAGTGAGGATTGGAAACCTGGGCCTGTCTCCACAGCTTGGGGTATTCATGAAGGAAAATATCAGATCCCCCATTCATCTGCCGCCAGCATTTCAAGTGCCGTTTCAAATGCTCCAACTTAGACAACCTCCACACTGCACAACGCAAAAATAGGTAGTGATAACGGATGGCCCTCAGCACTAACTGTGCAGTACAACCAACTCCAGTCACTTTAAGGGGATGGCAGACGAAGAGGGTAGCCTTAAATATGCATTATACTCTGAGGAAAGATAACAGGGTGTGAATAAAGGGAGGTTTCTTGCTCTCTCCTTCCTCCCCTCCCAAACAGATGTGATGGCGCATAGCATACATATTTCCCCCAGCTGTCCAGGTGTAATGACATTCTGGCTACTAGAAAACATAAAACATATGCTAGTGGAAAGAAGTAGGGTAGATTTTGCATAGGTTGAGCCCGCTGTCAAAATCTACCAGCCTTTGAGCCTAGTGACTTTAGAATCAGGCAGTGTCTGCTCAGTGCTTCCCCTGCGTCCCTCCCTGCTCCTCATAAATATCTCTTCTCATCCATGTTATGTGAGGCTGAGAGCAAAATCATTCCTAGGTCACTTCTTTTACACTTTGAAGTAGAGAATCTGTTGTACTAGCTACACAATAAAAATTTTAATTAGTGAGTCTAAAATTTAAAAGACCTTTTTGTATCTAGACACCATGCTCATTCAAGACCTAGAGCCATTTCAGTGTTATCATCCTAGTGAGTACTAGAAGAGGAAAACTAAATAGAAATGTAGTCTTTTTTGGTCAATATTGATGAGGAAGTAAAAGGATTTTGACTGCAGGCCACATAACCTTTAAAAAAATTATTATCACTCTTAAAAAATTATAAACCTTGGGATGGGGTAACGCTGCCTCCTTCCTCCCTCCTTCTCTTCCTCTCCAGCTCCATTTTTGCAAAAGGAACCCATAATGCTTTGCAGATATTGTCACACTGCTGAAATTGGTAATACAGACTCCATGTTTGCCTACTGTGGGGGGTTTGTGTTATGATACACACAGGAAAACAGGATTTGCGATAGGTAATTTCTCTCAGTTGAGGAAAAAATGTATTCTTCCCCTTGCAGATGTAAAGTAAGAGTTTGCAAGTCCTTCTTTAGAGAAGGTGAAATTTCATTCCATTTCCAACTGCCTCGCTCTAGAGAAGCTGCAGTTCAAGCTACTTATTTTGGGACGTTAGGCATATAGTCCTGCCTTTGTTTCTGTTCTAACATCTTCTTTTTCTCAGCTTGAACAGGTTCTAATTGATGATGTACTTCCTGTAATGAAGGATGACTCTTTGCTGTCTTCCCACCCAATTGTGGCCAACGTGTCATCTCCAGCTGAAATCACCTCTGTGTTTGACGGGATATCCTACAGTAAGGTAGGATATCCTCCTCTTGTGACTTTGGATGCAAAGAAAGTAGAGGCTTGGGAGAGGAGATGAAAGTCAGGAGAGCTTGTAATCATAACTCCTAATCCACTTGGGCTGTGTCTGTGTGGATCTTTTTTATGGGACTTTTTTATGGGACTGTCAGTCATCATTCAGTCAAAAGCAACTGTGGGAGGAGCGGTACAGCCAGAGCCTCGGTCAGCCACTCTGCACCATGCAAACCTGCCCACAGCACGCAGAGGTGCAGGGAAATCACAGTGTCAGCAGCTTCTGCCACTAGAGTTGTCTGTTTTAAAATTATCCTAAACAAGATACTAAGCACATCCCTCTCCCGTCACCTCATGTTCTGATGCAGCCCAATTATGTCAAGCCTCATAATCTAATGCAAGGGCAGATGATGCAAGGGCAGATGTCCATGTGTCCTCTCTCTCCCTTCCCCATCACACCTTCAGGGCAGTATAACTTTGAATTTGAGGAAGCAAGGCAGGGAACCAAGCAGTGAAAACAGAAAAGTAACTTTTTCTCTCAAGTTGCTCACAGTACCCCAGCCACGCAGGAAGCCTTAGTAAAGATGGGCTACACCAGCCTCTATTGACCAATGCCCTAAACTGTGAGATAAGTTTAGGGCCAATGCCCCAAACTGGGACAAACTAGCTTCACATTTGACTGAGAGTTGTGGAGCTCAGGACTGATGTGGAGCACAATACTCTGTAGCCCAGAAGGTGGTAGAGGACACCCCATTAGGCATTTTTTTTAATAAAAAATTTTAATTTTTTTAAGCTTTTTAGCTGTTTGCTCATTGAGTTTTTCAATGGTGGTGGGGACCCGTGCCTATAAAGGCTCCCTCAGGAGCCAACTAGAACTGACTGGAAGAACACACTGGGTCTCTCTGAACAACCAGATGCTGGGATGCTGGTGCCGTCCAACTGCTGTTGTGACCGGGATGCACAGAGCCTTCCCTGAGCCCACTGCCTCTGGTAGTACTAGCTGTGTGGGGCGGCAGCTCAGCCGAGCTCAGCACTTGTGGAAATGTCCTTTGAGGTCCAGAGCATTAGAGAGGCCAGTAGTCATGCTGAGGGTCATCAATTTGACGTGGTCAGCAGGATCCAGGCTAGGAGGCTGAAGCTGGCTCATCTCCCTCTATATCAGATATAGCCAAAGCCATTTTGTCCTTAGACAACCCTCAGACACAGAACAAAACAGGTCTCCCCAAGATTCCCTGGTATCTAACCAGGGAGTCCCTTGACTCAAGCATCCTGACAACACTGTTGCTTCTAGTTATTTTTTGCAGTGCTTTAAAAGATAAGCCTGAATAAGCACAGGAGGAAACGTCCCTGTCCCTCTTCCCTCTCACTTCCACATATGCCACCAAGGTGAGGAAGGAGCTGGGACTCTGCTCACTCTCTCCTCAATCAGCCATCTCCCACATTGCTTCTGGCCCTGATACACCATGTTTATGTTGACAGCTTCTTGTATGACTCTTGCCATAACAAGTTTCCACTGAACACACAAAATCCACCATTTTTAATTTTAATTTCATAATCCTTCTTGTTGCTTTCCCTCCAAGCTCCCATTATCAGCTAAACATAAAGTATGTATTGCACTGACTTTAGCTTTAGCGATGCTAGAGTCTGTAGCTGTAGATATTACTTTTATTAGCTAGACTTTATCCATCCATTTCCATCAGTTTTCTGTTTTCAATTGTTAAATCCTCTATCCAACAATACAACTAGTATTTATTGCATCATAAATGCCTCACAGTCAAATCATAAACCATGTGAAAACCTGCATTGTGTAACACTGTTCTTAAATCAAACTAACAAAAGTCAAGAAACATACAGAGCTAAATCAAATACTCTGAACCAAAATATATTTTAGTGGTGAGCTAAGCAAGAGACATACTTTTGTATGTTCTGAAAAAACAATGGAGAAAAAAATCCTAGCTTTTACTCATCTAGCCTAGATAATTGCTACATGAACTCATTTTTTTTTTAAGTGAAAACACTTGAGGACTCGTGCATTGTTTGGGAACAGTCTGCTTGGGATATAATTTGGCCTGGGATATAATTTGGCTTGAATGAGAAAGTCTTCACGTAGATTTAGCTCAAATTACTGTTGGTATTTATACATAAATGCATGACAAAATTAACTTGTTTCTTTTTGGCTTTATTTTGGCTTGTCTTTTGCATTTTTCTTATAAAAACAATCTCCTCATGATAATATTCATCACTAAACAAATAAAGCATAATTTGGAATGCTCTCTGTTAGTTTTACCAGAGCAATTAAAGGGCTTATACAATCCTAAAACTCTAATGAACTGCCTAAGGGTCTGTGGAGTCATTGCAGTGTATTCTGTAAGGGAACCTCTAACTGCTGTATGATTGCTAGGGCATTATGTGCCTACGGAAATTGTACTAGTGTAGAACTGGTGACTACACAATTAATGTATAGAATTTTTTTAATCTGCTCTTAAAAAGTAATTGCATCTCACCTCTTTTCCAGTTTAATCTTCCCTCTTACTTTGAAAGATTCTATTAAAGTAACAATAAGATTTTCTGTCTTTGGAGTTCAAACATTGGTTACCTCTTCAGAAGAAGGATACTTAGGTTCTGCTAGAATTTGCTCTTGGACCCCCACATTTTTGGAACCTCCCAGCTAAAGAAGTTTAGGATTAAATGTTCCACGTATCTGCCACATACAATCTTGTCATATAATTGGCAATTACTACAACTCTCTAGGAGAAGTTGTGTGGGTGTTGATAAAAGACTCCCCCCCACATCCCCATCAGACAAGGTCAGCTATTCACATCAAGGTCACTTTCCTTAACCTCCCCAAATAGTTGAAAGAAAGGAAAGTTATTAAAACACTGGAGTTTCTATAACCAGTCATTTTGTTAGGATGAATTTTTCTCAAACTCACTCCATCATGGACTACAGAGGAATGACAAGAGTAGGGGGAAGAGACTGAAAAGCAGAAGTAGAACATGCAAGGGGCTAACTATACATTGCAATTTAAAGCAAAAGAAATCTCTGTTGTTCCCAAATGCATGCATAGGTGTGTATTTCTACTCTGACTTTTAATATAAATGGGAGGGGATGGTCTGCAAGAGGTGGTATCAGATAAGAAGTGGCTGATAGACAAAGATGAGGAACTGAGGTACCCTAGTGCATACACAATCACCATTAATCATAAGAAACCTTATGGTTACCACTAATGGATATCTGCTCTAAATTTTACTGAATAATTTTTTAACAAATTTCATGGCAAACACATTAAATTACTATATCAGAAAAAAGTTATTTACTGACCACCTTGACTCTGCAATGATAGTCTGGAAAGCAGTTTGAGGCATATATGTTCAAACAGTCCCTCTGCCGTGACTCGTGCAGTCAAGTTGTTATTCTCAGACAGGTAAACAGGAGAGACAGGATTTACTGAGAACTCAGATAACATACTTGTTTTCATGGGACAACAGGATTTTTAAACCATTCATAGCATTAGGCTCTCAGCTTCACTTTGATTTAGTTCAGAAAATGAAAACATGTTAATCCTAAAATCTTATTTTGTGTTTTAGATTGGGTTTGCACTGCTTTTGTTTTTCATCATTTTGTGCCAGCTCTGTTCTTTGTTCCACATGACTCTTCTACTTCTCTCCTCTGTCTTCCCTTTGTTTCTTTTGTCTTTCAAGGTCCTAATTGTTTTATTTTCTGTGACACCCAAGTAACTTCTCTGATCCCAACTCTACCCTGCTTCAGAGGCCAAAGCTCTTACACCAGTCCTCAGCAAAGCTCATTCTGAACCTTGAGATAGCATCCCCCATGTGTAAAGCCTCAGACCTGCAGCCTTTTTGGAGTTCTCTACCTGTTGGGCGTTCAGACAAAGTCCTCTGTCAGGCTGTGCTGCTGGACAGGGCTAATTCCCCAGCTGCCCTCACCCCTGTCCTGTCCAAAGCAAAACAGGGAGCCTCACTCACACAAACTAGTAGAGCGCAGGACAGTAACCCTTCCACTGGCACAGCTGAACTTGGAAACAGGTGTCTGATCACAGCTAAAGACCAATTCTCGCATCCAGAGTTAAGCTCCGGCAGGCAGGCATGCTGTGCCATGAAGGAATTAAAAAAACACACTTCCTTAGTCAGATGGACGGTTTCTATTTTTGCCTTATAAAATATTCGTTCCCATGTTGCTTTTTAGGTCAACGGAAATCCAGTGTTAGAGTAGCATGGACTGACCTTCTCCCCTCTCCCTTTGTCCTCAGGGTGCATCGATACTCAGAATGCTTCAAGACTGGATTACACCAGATCTCTTCCAGAAAGGCTGTCAGGTAAGGGTGGCACCAAAACATGGCAGAAATGCATCCCATCCTCATGTGACAGTAGCAAATCCATTATTCAAACAGTGAATATCGGAGATCCTGGTATTAGTAGCAAAAGTATTTAATTCATTTCAGTACTGAGTGGACCATGTCAAGGGGAAGAAGTTTCACGCTCCCACAGAAGCAAGCCTGCCAGTAAGGACCTAAATTCATGACAGCTTTTAGCAGAGAAACCTCCTCCACCCTGCTGTTATCCTGTTGTCAGCCAGGATCCCATGTTAAGTTCTATGCAGCTTCATATGGCCACAGTCCTCCAACCCACCCAAGCCTGCTATGCAGGGACACTCTTACACCTTACAAGCTCATCCGTGCCCTGAGATTTTACACTGGGGCACCCAGCCCTAGAGAGCCAAGGTAACAGGGAGTAGAAGAGAGACATTGCATAGTTCATAGTCCTTTTTTGTGGAGGAAAAAACATGATGCTACAAAATTAGGAAAAGAAAAAATGGGAGAAAGGAGCTTTCCCAGAAAGGGGAAGGTTATCTGTCCTTTCCTCTGAACCGACATGTATCTTCTCTGAAGAGCTACAGTGCAGATTTACCACATTTGTTCTTACCTCCCTTCCTCCTGGAGAGCCCATTTATGGGCTGCTATAAGACAGTTGTATTTTCCTTTACTTTTCCTTTCATATATTCGATCAGGACAGTTCCACAGGATGAGAAAATACAGCCACGTTGGCCACAAGAGACTAATATTCCCCTCAGAGCCTTCAAGAACATTAAAGTGGGTAGCTGTGGCTAGCAGCGAAACAAACAGCACCATCTACTGACTAAACATCACGGGGACCCAGATAACAGGGTAGGAAAGCACTCCTTAAGCAGCCAGGTAAGAGACAGGAATAGTGTTTAGGCGGTGCAAACACTTAGCCGAATACCTTTATTCCTTGTAATAGTAATTTTGATCACAACTTACAGGTGATCAGACTTCTCTACTTCTACTCTGAGTTCACAGATAGCGAAATCTCCTGAAATAGATTCCTCCTTCTAAACAACCTCTTAGGTTAGGCAGAAATTTGCAACAGGTTATGCTGGTGTCTATTCAAACAAAATACAAAGAAGTCTTCAAGTACAAATTTATTTCATACTAACAAGTCACCCTGGAAAGTGCTGACTTTTATCATCACAGGATACATTGGAAAGCAAATGAACTTCATCAGCTGAATATTGATCCATTTAACCTCCTACTCACAATACTACCACCCATGGGTAGATACTCTGTACAGTTGGTCCTCTTTCAATATGTGTGTTGTTTTCATAGACAAAGAAGAAAGACCTGGTAGTATTTTCACAGTCTTCTACCTCTCTCTAGGCATATTTGAAGAAACACCATTTCCAGAATGCCAAGACACAACAATTTTGGGAAGCTCTAGAAGCGGTATGTTTTGCAGCAACCCAAACCCTTTCTGATAAATGTTTCATATCTTGCCCACTGGTTTCAGTTTCCCAAACTTTTTGTATTCTGTAGCTCTTCTGTCAATGAGAGATCACAAGTTAGGCAGCCTCCCAGTATATTCCAACACATGTTATTTCTAGCAAATATATATTATTTCTTAATTTTTTGGCACAAGACTGTGGAAGTGGAATAAGAAACAAGAAAGGAGGCCTTGCTAAGAAACAGTCTGCTACTGAAATATTCCCCCTGCAACTCAAACTCATTTCATAGGTGAAAACAGCCCTCATCCACTACACACATGCACCTCATATGCTCCCTTATCTCTAACCAGGTTCAGCTGTTTGAAAATGCTCAATAGTATCCATTCCCAAGTAATTTTGGTGCTCATCTCTCTCTCTAGCTTCTGAGTCCCAGTTGGGTCATTCTGTGACATGATTTTCTGATCTTTCCTTTTCCCTGAGGCTGGGCTTTTTCTTTCCATCTATCTCATTAACCCCAAAAGCCCACCTGCATACTAACAGATTCTTCCCCTGATGATATTTCCTTTCCTTCCACTGCTGTGGACACTCACACAGCCCAAGTTGCACTTTCTGTCTCCTTTCAAATTCCCATCTTCTCCTTGGTCCCAGACTTCTTCCTGCTCAGCAGGACTTCTTCCTCCTCTCTCTCTGGTGCTCTGCATCTTCACATCACCTACCTTGTTGTAGTTCAACCCAGCAGGCAGCTAAACAGCACACAGCTGTTTGCTCATTCCCCCGCAGTGGGTTGGGGGAGAGAATCAGAAAAGAAAGGTAAAACTCATGGGTTGACATAAAGACAATTTAATAGGACAAAAAAGGAAGGGAAAATAACAATAATGATAAAAGAATATACAAAACAAATGATGCACAATGCAATTGCTCACCACCTGCTGACTGATGCCCAACCAGTCCTTGAGCATCGGGCACAGCCACCCAACCAACTGCCCCCAGTTTTACTGCTCAGCACGTTGTCATACGGTATGGAATACCCCTTTGGCCAGTTGGGGTCAGCTGTCCTGGCTGTGTCCCCTCCCAGGGTCTTGTGCACCCCCAGCATCCTCGCCAGCAGGGCAGTATGAGAAGCTGAAAAGTCCTTGACTATAGTGTAAGCACTGCTCAGCAACAACTAAAACATCGGTGTGTTATCAACAGTATTCTCATCCTAAATCCAAAACACAGCACTATACCAGCTACCAGGAAGAAAATTAACTCTATCCCAACTGAAACCAGGACACTCTTCTGAAGAAAGAAACAGTGACCCTAGCTCCCTTCCCTCACAGGTGGCAGCCTGGGGAGGCAGTGGCAGCTCGCTCCAGTTTCTGGGATAGAAGTTCAACGGTCCACAGAATGGATCAAATTTTACATTAGTGCAGCTGCTGGTTGTTAATACTCCTTCACACTCAAAACAAGGCATGCTTCAAGGAGACTTATGGCTTTGAGAAATTTCTTTATGTCCTTTCTGTCCTGTTTGGTTATTTCCTGAAAAAAAAATTGAGCTATCTTAAAGCATGCAAAGGCCCTCAAAGGTTCTTCAGTATTTCTCATCCATATTACTGTTACTGGCCAGTCTCCTGCCCACATATTTCTCTTGTCCTCTGTCCATGTTCGGGTTTCCAGCTCATTCCCTCTTTTAATGACAGGCACCATAAAAGGATTTAAATGGAGTATTTTTTGTAGTGAACCTGCTCTTTCCTCTGCCCCTTTCTGCTCTTCTTCCTCTCAGTATCAGACTTTTTTTTTCCCCCCTCATTGAATTGAATTTGCTTTTTCACTGCAACCTTCTCCCATTGTTCATAGGCAAGTAATAAACCTGTGAAGGAAGTCATGGACACATGGACTAGACAGATGGGCTACCCTGTTTTGGAGATGGGAAGTAATTCAATATTCACACAGAAACGTTTTCTCTTGGATCCCAATGCAAATGCTTCTCATCCTCCTTCTGATCTTGGGTAAGTTCCTGTGGTAAATGTCTATCCAAAAGAGGTGGAAATACTGTACAGATACTCTCTCCCACTGACATACATGTAGTCAATGATATACTCATTCTTGCTAAACTTACTCTCAGCATTTGTTTTTAAAAAGAAACCAGCAGAATGTTAGATAAAAATATTTCAAATTTAGGACAGCATCAGCCCAGAGTTTCTTTCTCAAACACAGCAAAGAAAAATTGGACAGGATCTCCCAGAAAATCTTATGATTCTGAACAGCTCAGATGATTGCAAGTCATCTGTTGCACCACTAAAAATTATAGTCTGCCAAACTAAGGAAAACTGACACAAAATTGTCTCTGTCCAGAAATCAGATACCATGATCCAAGTATTTTATGCCATGATAGTTTATTCTTTTTCCTGTATAGTGTAGGATCTATAATACATCACAGGGACTTCTCTACATGTTTTAAAAACATGAATTACTGTGAAATAGCTAGTCATAATGTAAATGTTATTAATCCTCATCAAGAGCTATTTTTTCCTGTTTATCTTCGGATGGTATTGCTTCATTTTAGCCATCTAAAAGATAGTTATCTAGTCAAAGTTAGCCATCTTGGGCTCTTATGTGGCCAGACAGCCAGCTGCAGACATTCATCTACCCTATTCAAGACAGGTGGGATACTTCATAGGAGCATATTTGTTAACTGGCAGATGACTAACCTGAGGAGAGATGAACCCTACCTGTGGGTTGATGGACCTGCACAGAAAAATGGCTCAGCTGCACCATGGCATTAACTAGCTGAATAACTGTTCAGAGCTAGCATTGTGTATAATTCTTAGCCAGACTCAATTTTGAGGCAATACAACTTTGCTAATATTTCAGTGAAAGAGATTCAAATTAACCCATATTAGGACGGTTTCGTTCCTTGAACTAGCCCGACACAACTAAACCAGTAAAACTTGCCTGTATGAACCAGAACTAATCTATTGGCTTTCTATTAGCTTCTAGTACTTATTTTGATAGTAAGAGCAAGAATATGGAGAAAATTAAGAAACAGTTATGGCCACTTTATTTCATTCTGATTAAAAAGAAAAAACCTGAGCAATGAGAAGGCCCATGGTATTGGCAGTTTTGGATAGGTATCAAACGAGTTGGGATGAGATAGTTACCCATGTATTTGCAACATTCTATTTCTCCCAACATAAGCAGAAAAGTTTACAAGGCTTTTGAAGCAAAGCTGGCTGCAGATTACAACACTGTGCCATCTGAAGGCTGGTGTTACAGACTATTCAGGGAAAAATACTTCTTTAAGTGTTAAAAAGTTTGACTTATTGCACTATGCTCTGAGGTAGCAGACTCAGGAATCCTACTTTTGCTTGACTTCAAGACTTACAGTACATTGCCATTTGTCGTTTCTTGAGTAGAAATGCCAGCACTGTTCCTACCTTAACCTGTCAAAAAGCTGAGCTTTGCACCACCCCTGCTATTCCCAAAGTGAGAGGGGCACTTGTTTCTGAATGTGTAGTTTTAATAAATAACTTAACTTAAAAATAAAATGCAGTAATATATATTATAAAGCTGATACTATCTGTCCTGGGACATACTTACTCCCTTGCCTAAAAGTCAATGCACTGAAAATCAATACCTCCTCCTGCCACGCTCACAGATGTGGATGAGGAAGCTCCTAAATAGATCCTACCCCTTACGGGACTGGCCTATTTCATGTCTGCGTGCAGGGTTTTGATTTAAGCAGTGAAAAGTCCAGGCCTCGTGTATGCTTTATTCTTTGAACCCTGCAGGGATAGTCTCCTGAGTTGCCCACTTGCTTCAAGCTTGTTTGGCTTGAAAGAGTCCTCTCCTGCATGCTGGCACTCAAAAGAAAAAGTAGTTCAAAAACTTGTGCTCTTAAAATAGTGCTGCTGGGCAAATATGCAGCTACAGCATAGCATGTCAGGAACACGTCCTCAATATGCACAGTTAACAGGACACAGCTATTATATCTTATGCTCAGGAGAAGTATTTATGTATGTAATCTCAGGAACATATAAAGAAAAAGAAATAAAATCCCCTTCATTTAAATGCATTTACAAAATCAGGGGTTAAAAAAAAAAAAGTTTTTTATGGGCTTTCTCTTGGGGAAACACAATACTGGGACTTCTGGCCAAACAAGAACCTCTCTAAATTCCATGGCAGTAAGCGCCGTAAGAGAACTAGTAAAATTTAGAAGTGTATAAATCTGTTAAGATATTTTTGTTTAGAAGATAAGATACAAAACAATAGCTGATCTTTCTTCCTGGAGGCAGCACAAGATATCATAGCCATCATTTTGGTATTTCCTGGAAGCTAATGACATTCACTTAATCCAGGGTTATAAAGATGACACAGGTTTTCCTGTACTGCTTATCACCAGGGGGTTTAAGATGAAAGAAAAATCTCCCTGGGATGGACTGTAATATGCTAACACGGAACAGCAGTTGACTGCTCAAAAGGGCTTAATAATTTTAGCAGCCCTATGCAGGTGGCTGTGCAGGTATGCTCACAGCATGCTCTGCTGTCCTGCTTCCCTGACTCCCTGGTCACGGTCTTGGTCAGGCTGCGCCATGGCTCCCTTCCAGCCCAAATGTCTCAGCTTCATCCTGGGCATGCCCCAGACTGAGGAGCCTGCACCTACCTACTGAAGGTATTCAAGGAATTGAAGAGCAAGAGGTAAGGTCACATTTGGTTCCCAAATATATATATGGAGGAATTAGGGCTGTCTTGGAGAAGGAAAATAGACTGGAAAAGGCAAGAGGTCCTACTGACTGTATCACAGTGGTTGCTTAAGGTCTTTCAGTTTTCCCATCTGTAAAAAAGGTTTCATAATACTTAGCCACTTATTTCACGTCAGCAATGCAAAGATTAACTGGTGTCTGCACAAAGTCCTAGACTTTGCTCTAATCAACATTAACACTGACATCAACCATCCACATATAATCAACTTTAAATTAATTGCTTTGCACCCTGCTAGATTATTATGACATGCAGAGATACTGCTTAGTGGGGCTGCATGTTCCAGAGCTGTGGGAATAAGCTACACAGTACAGCACAATTGAAATTAATTCACGTGATCTCTCTCCGATTATGGGTAATTATTACCCTCTCCAGCACATGTAGTCACCAAGAGGTGAAGACTGCATTCAGAAGGACATGGCCCTAGCAGTTCCATTGATTTTCAAAAAGCAAAAAAAAAAAAGAACCAGACAAATTTTGAAAAAAAAAAAAAAAGAACGAGCTTTCAGATTTAACTTTAGGCACATAATTAACACAGTACCCTATTAACTTGACTTGACATCAACATTGGACACTGGACAAAATCTTATTCCACTCCCTTGCTCAGTCCACCAGATGCATTTTCAGAACTATTGATAAACACAAAGTATTAAGACAAGCTACTGCTATTCCCCATCTCTAGAGCATGAATACACTCAGACACTTCCTATCTTTTATTTTGCGTTTCAGGGAATATAACTGCCCCAATCATACCACACCAATATCTGACATTTTGTTGCCTGAATCGAGTATCATAGCCCAGAAACATCTTTACAACAAAAACAACAGCTATTGGTAAAATGCTATGTTTTGTTACAAGGGATATTTGGTAAATGTATACGTACATAAGCACATAGCTGACTTTGTAAAAAAAGATGTAAGCATTAAACCAAACAAAAACATACATTGGAATTTTATTTTTAGCACTTGATTTCAAATGTCATTTGATTCTCTT